AGTGGGGTAGTGCAGGATACTCTTAATAGGAAGTCACCTATGTGAGTGTGAAATGAGGTCGTTTCTATGAGAATTTTTTAAGGCTTGAATTCTCTAAAGCTCTCATGAATACCAGGAATGCTCAGTGCCAAAACCAGCACAACCGATCGAACCAAATATGTTTAGAAGGGTATTGTGTGAGTGCTATTGTCTGGGTTTACACAAACGGCTGAACAGTTCAAGACATCACGTTCACTGATTAGCCAAGTAAATCCGATAGTATTCCACTATGGAAGGTTCAAGGCCAAAAGCTACTTATCCAGATGTAGTATTCTTCTAATAAGGACTCTCTCTAGTGTCTTCATTTTTGTTTGCATGTTGTTGAGTCAATTTCCATTCATATGGGGGATTGTTGGAAAATTTAAATATTAACTAATATTGATTTTCCTTTTTGAATGGAAATTAATAAAATCCATTGGGTTAAAGACATTTTCATATAGGGAGTAACAACTCTTCAAACCAAGGAATGCTTTGTTGGGGTGGCAACTCTTCAGACCAAGGGATGCATTGTTTGCCTTTTCAGATTGAGATACCTTTTTGGAAAGGGTATTTCATTATCTATAAATAGAGCAATCCTCCTGCAGTTTTATTCATTCAATTAGTTCTCTACATATAGACTTTCATATATAGAGAGCATTAGAGTTTTCATAAAGAGAGGTTCCTGCATAATTTGGTTCAAAGTTCCTTGCGAATTGCAGTACTTCTTTCACAAGGAGGGGAGTCTTATCCTGGGAGGCGAACGCTAGTGAACCATAAGCACCAGTGTGGGGCGTAATTCGTCTTAAGGTCAGAGTGTCTAACACTTGCCTCGACTCAATTAAGGTTCTTCTACTTCAATTCTCCTCTTGTAAAAATATGTTTTATGTGCAATATCTATTTTGTTTATTCTATAGCAATTTAGCACTCATATTTCCAACAATATCAACTCAAAGTTTTCCCCCTTTGAGAACCAAGCAACTGGCAGCTCCTCCATATCCAGACAAGCACCTTCTTCCTCCTCTCTAACCCCAGTACCTTACAGCACCGCGGGGCTTTCTCACTCTGAATTTACATACAGATTTCCAGTCGCCACCGGCCAAAAGTTCATCCGTTTGTATTTCAACTCAGCTTCATTTGGCCCTGACTTTGACCGATCCAAAGCTCTCTTCTGAGTCAAAGCCGGTGGCTTCACCCTTCTCAAAGACTTCAACTCTTCAGTCACTGCCGAAGCTTCTGGGTCTGATACAATATACAGAGAATTTTGTCTCAAAGTTGAGTCAGAACAGAGCTTGAACATCACTTTCATGCCAAGCAGAGCAACTGCAGATGCGTATGCGTTTATCAATGGAATTGAAATTGTGTCCATGCCCAACAATCTTTACTACACCTCTGCTCAAAATTCAGATGGAGTTAATTATATAGGCAGCAAAAACACATTTCAGATTGAAAACGGCACTGCGCTGGAGATGGTGTACCGATTCAACGTCGGTGGAAGATCACTGGTTCTCAATCAGGACACTGGTATGTACCGAAACTGGGATGGCGAGCAAGAAGAGCACAAGTAGTTAGATGATTTAAGAGTCAAGTGTTTTACCGCAAAACAGTAGCATTAAACTCAACTTTACTGAAATAGCAAAGTACTCTGCTCCAAAAGAACTTTACCAAACTGGCCGGTCAATGAGCAGGAACAAGACCATGAACAAGAGCTATAATCTCACCTGGGAGTTCCCTGTTGATCCCAAGTTTTTGTACCTGCTTAGGCTTTATTTTTGTGAGTTTGAACTTGATATTACCAAGACCAGAGACCGACAGTTTCAAATCTTCATCACCAATCAAACAGTTGAACAATTTGCGGACATAATCAAGTGGAGTCGTGGAAATTGAAGACCATTTTATAAGGATGTTGGCTCTGCGCAAATCTCGCGGCCTGTGCTCCGGGCCGAGGGGATGTGCATCAACATGTGACGTTCTTCTTTTGGATGCGGTGCGGTTGTGCGCGGGCGTGCCAGCACGGTCTACCGTGCGTTGAGATGATGATGAGGTTCGAGTAGAAGATGGTTAAATGTTGCGCCTGTTTTGCATTCGACTCCTAATCAAACGATTGTGGCTGAGAGAGGAACTGATCTCGGCCGTCAGGTCCACAGCCTGAGCTCCGTTTAGTGGTGGTGTTGGTAGCGGGTTTTAGGCGGTGCTCCGGCGCGTTGCTCAGAGAGCGACGATCGTATGATATATGGAGTGAATGAGACGATAACAGAGATGGTGCTCCGGCGCTTAGAAAATCAAGGGTCGTATGATATATTGATTAATGGATTTTCCTTACAATCTACCACTACTCCTAGGAAAGCAAATAAAGGTATTGAAAGTGCATTACAGGAAAATATAATTTGCTCCGTGGGAGTCTTTTGGTTTGGTGTTTGAACCCTTTGAATGTAGTCCTGAGCTTAGTATTTATAGGAGGAGTCCTGGAGGGACAATCGAGGCTGACAAGACCTGCATGGTAGAGCCTGACCGGGGCAAGTGGGTAGTCAAATCGGCATTTGGGATCGTGAAGCATGGTGGTTTAGGATCGTGAAGCATGGTGGTATGACTCCCATAAATCCCGGCAAATCTCGGCCACCGCCCTGATCGTGGGTTCTGCCCCCTTGGCCGTGGGAACGCATTTAATACCCTGGTCTGGTGGTTGGTGATCCGACCTCAAGTCGTAAGATTACTTACGAGAATGTCTGCGCCTAACCACCCTGATTTCCATCACCAAATCCTGACCTCAGTCACTTCCCTTGCGCATTAAATGCTTCTTGCGACTAGTGGGTTTGCTGTGAAAGGCAGAGGCATTACTTAATTAAATAGGTCGTGGGACCCTGAGGCCACGTGGCGATTTAACCACAGCTTCTTCGGCCTTGTCTTTTACGGCCTTCGGTTTCGGCCTTCAATACTATGGTCGTGAGGCCGAGAGGATTCTGCCCTTGCAGCTTTTTTTTTGTTATCAGGAAGGCGAAATGCTTGACGAAACGGTAGGCGCCGAGGCCGCAAGAAAGTCCCTTCACTCAGTTTATGACCGTGATTTATTAGGCACAAACATTGCCCCCACATCCCTAGATTCTTCGGTCGCTGCCTGGGCAGAGGCCGAAAGGATTTCAAGGGGTGGACCCTTTGCACTCCCCCTGAAGTGATTGAAAGTTGGTGCTTTAAATGCGTAGGTCAATCGGCGCATTAAATGCGCAAGCACGTCTTGCAGGCCATCATTGCCCAGACTTGCGCGAGCCGTCGTTTTGTCTCGTCAAATGAAGCGACTGCCTCTAGGCTTTCGACACGTCATCGTGCCCCTTGAGCACGCTTGTCAGGCCATTCTAGCGCCAATATAAAAAGCCTTGCCTTCTTCATTTTTCTTCACTCCTTCCTCCCCATTCTAACCTGCTCTAGTGGCCTCCTCCCTGTAGCTTCTCCAGAACTAGGGTTGAGCCATATCCGCGGGTCCCTGTGTCGTGGCCTGATGCAAATGGTTTTTTCCCTCTTGCTGTCCACCAACTATCCTTCGTCTTGGAAAGTCGACGTGGGCTAAGGCCGTGGTGTGGCCGAGATTCCTTCCCGGCCCTGGGGGAGGATGACCTTCCTTTTTATGAGGTCGTGGAGAAACTGTAATGCGATCGATGAAGATGGAAGGGCCTGGTGTGATGATTCCAACTTGGCCATGTTCGTTTGGCCTAGCACCTTGGTTGCACCCATGGCCGGAGTGACGGTCCTGGCTTCACCCAGCTATAGTTGTGCCCAGAATGATGGCCCTGGCCATGGCCCGAGCGACGGCCTTGATTGCAACTCGGTTTCACCCATGTCTAGAGTGACGTCCTCACCCATGGTCGGAATGACGACCCTGACTTTAGCCGGCTGCACCCGTGTCCAAAGTGACGGCCTCGGCCATGGCCCGAGCAACGGCCTTGATTGCAACCCAGGTTCACCCATGTCCCGAGTGACGGCCTTGCCTATGGCCGCGGTCAGTGGAAACGTGGGCGGTGGAGGCACCGCCTAGGGAAGAATCATCTGCCTGCTCTAGCGAGGGGATCAAGAAGCGGCCGTTCATAGATTTAGGATGTACTCTATTTTTCGCACATGTATGCTTATATGTTTCATTCGGCCATGACTGGCCGTTCTTTTGTAACCATGACCCTTTTTTTAATCTAAATGAAGTACAACCCTCTTTTTCTTTTGACCAAATGTATGTTTTTCTTTCATCTTTGTCGATTGTAAACCTTATAACCCATTCTTGGCCGTCTCCCATAATGACGGGGTATATTTCTTCAAATACTGGCCGTTTATTGGCAAGTTGTGCCATTCCCCATCCCTATCTCTTAATTGAAATGCACCTCGGCTAAAGATCCGTTCGATAATAAACGGCCCTTCCCAATTGGGCGAGAATTTGCCGAACCGAGGGTCCTTAGTCCTAATAGGAAGCACGGCACGCCATACCAAGTCGCCTTAGGCGAAAGTCTTTTGCTTCATCTTCCTGTTGTAGGACCTCGCCGCGATATGCTTTTGTGCCTGCATTAGGTTATAAGCGTCGAGTCTGGATTGGTCAAAGTCTTCTAACTCTTGAGCCATGGCCTGCGCATAGTCCTTTTCTTCCTGCCCAGATCGTTCAGTCACACGGAGAGACCGAACCTTTAGCTCCATCGGAACGATGGTGTCATGGCCATAGGTTAAGGCATAAGGGGATGTGCCAGTGGCCGATCATTTTGAGACTCGGTAAGCCCAAAGGGCTTGAGGGAGTAAGTCGTGCCACGGTCAGGGAGTAAGATGTGCTAGGTTTTTCCTCAATTATTTTCTCGAGGATGCCCTTGATTACCTTGTTGCTTGCCTCGGCCTGTCCGTTAGATTGTGGGTTGTAGGGTGTCGAGTGGACCAACTTGATCCCTATCCTCTCGACGTATTCTCGAGTCTCGGCTGATGCGAAGACTGGGCCGTTATTGGCCGTGATGGTTTCGGGTATACCGAATCTGTGGACGATGTGATTTTTGAAGAATCTGACTACCTGTGTGCTAGAAATGGACCGATAAGACTCCGCCTCGACCCATTTAGTGAAATAGTCAGTTGCCACCAAAATCCAGGCGTGCTGGTTAGACTCGGCTGGGTAGATTTTGCCAATGATATCCACGGCGCATCCTCTGAACGGCCATAATTTAGTAACCTGGTGGAGGGCGTCAGCCGGTACCCTTTGTATGGGGCCGTAGATTTGACACTTGATGCACCCCTTCGCATATTCTATGCAGTTTTTTAAAATGGTCAGCCAATAATAGTCGTGCCTCCGGTCCAACCATCTCATTTTAACGCCGGACTAGTGAGCGCCGCAAATCCCTTTGTGGGATTCGGCCATGATAACCTTGATATCTTCGGCGCTGGGGCGTAGGAGCAATAAACCGTCTGATCTTTTTTGATACAGCTCGTTCTGATAAATCAAATAACACCGAGCTAAAAAACGAATAGTCCTTTCATGGTTACCGGAGGGATCGCGCAGATACTTTACTAAGGGGTAGCGCCAGTCGGCTTTGACCGCTTCGACCTCATCGGTAATCTCGGCTGATGATACTTGCGCCGCCATTCCTCGCTCGGTCAAAGTCGGCAGGGTGCGCTTCTCGATCCTTATTACATGATCGTGGTTGCTGTTCGGAATGTTCACACCTGACGCTACCTAGGCCATCTCATTGGCCTCATGGTTCTCGGCGAGCAGTACGTGAATGAAGGAGATCCTAGAAAATTCGTCGGCCGTATTGAAAGCCGTTACATAATACAAGGTTAAATTCTCGCTCGTGCACTGGTATTCCCTTGTCAGTTGGTTAATTACTAGCTGAGAATCACCGTAGACCAGGACACGGGTCGCCTTCATTTCTTTTAGAATTTCAAGACCGATGATGAGTGCTTCATATTCTGCCTGATTATTGGTGCATTTGAAATCAAGCTGGAACGCAAGTTGCCACATTTGTCCTTGGAGGGACTCGATCACGACCCCGGCCCCAGATCTGGTCTCGGTACTGGAGCCATCGAAGTACATGGTCCAGTAGTTCTTCTCCATGTAGGCCATGCCGATCTCAACCTCTAACTCCTCCTCTTGCCCCTGAGCCGGGTGGTGGGCCAAGAAATTGGCCAATGCCTGGCCTTTGACCGACTTCTGAGCCATATATTGGAAGGTGAATTCAGACAATGCCATCGTCCACTTCCCGATCCGGCCGCGTATGATCGGCCGAGTAAGCATGTATTTGATGAGGTCGGTCTTGGAGATGATCTGAATGACCGAAGGAAGCATATAATGGCGCAACTTGGTAGCCGCGAAATAAAGCGCTAAGCATAACTTCTCGATTGGTGAGTAGTTGAGCTCGGCCATGTTGAGGGTGCGGCTCAGATAATGCACTGCTTGCTCTCGCTCAGACTTGTTGTTCTGGGCCAGCAGACAACCGATAGAGCCTTCTGAAGCAGAAATGTAAAGCCTCAAGGGTTTTCCTCTTTTCGGCGGCATAAGGACCGGTGGTTGAGATAAATATTGCTTGATGTCGTCAAGGGCCGCTTGATGTTCTGCCTCCCACACGAACCATTCTGTGTCTTTCAGTTTGAGCAGAGGAGTCAATGGCCGGATTTTTCTTGCCAAATTGGATATGAACCATCTTAAAAAGTTGACTTTACCGAGGAAAGACTGGAGTTCAATCCCTCCATAGTGGCTTTATTCTTATCTACCTCAATCCCTCGTTGGTGGACCAAGAAACCGAGAAAGTTCTCGGCGGTGACGCCAAAAGCACATTTCTTAGGGTTCATCTTTAGGCCGTGTGCCCGCATGCGATTGAAAGCCTATCAGAGATGCCCCACGTGGTCGGCTTTGGATGGGGACTTTACAACAACGTCGTTGATGTAGACTTCAACGG